CCACAACTTCTATTTAGTTCTTAAAATTTCTATCTTTTAGTTGACATTCTCACTTCATTCATGCACCATGTCCCTGATTTTGCTTACTTGTCTGTGTTTCATTTTACTTCACTGAGCATTTGTAAGAGTTTTAAAAATATTTATAAGAAAGTTCAGAGATCTGTATTATTTTAGGGTCAATTTCCAGACCTTTGTTTTGCTCTTTCATTGAATCAATGTCTTTGATTCTCTGCATGCCATCTGATTGTTTTAAACTGATATTTGGACATTTGAAAAACCATCACCTTTCCCAGTCTTTACAACTGGCTTCATGAAGGGGAATACTTTCATGAATCATCCCAGCTGGAGGTTTTAGGACCTTTCAAGCTTTTTTGGGAAGATGTGCCTTTTCTGGGCTTGCATGTACGCTTTTCAACGACTTTATTTCCCTGGCAGCTTGTCCCATTTTCTTCTTAGAAACCCATAATCTCCGTGTCTTTCTGATTTCCTCCTGTAAAGTGCAGATCTCTGCAGCTCTAATATGCTGCAGCATTCACCTCTGTTTTCTGCAGCTTCCAAACTATGCCATTATTCCCTTTAGCACTTTGAGAAGAAAAGATGCAAACCAGTCTTACAGCTAGACCTCATCAAGCCAATATATTAAACACACAGTCCATTCTTTTGTTTCTATTGCAAGGAAGAAGCCAGGATATGGGAGATTTTCCCCTGGTTGCACTACACTCTACTACTAGGAGGGGTAACAAACATGCCAGAATGTCACAACTTTTCCTACCCCTTTAGATGGAGTCTCTTCCTTTTATGTACTGCCTGGGTGCTGCAACTTCTCAACTTGTCTAGAGTTCTTACAAACACGTCCTGCTCATTATATTGTAGTCAACTTGGTATTTCCATGGAAGATGAGAGCCTAAACCTTCCTAGTCCAACATGTTGAAGATGTTCATTCTATACCTATATTTTTACAATCAATAGCTGTAATACACAGTAGATTCTACTTCAGATTGCACTGAATTGGGTCTTTTCCTAATTTCTTTGATAATACTCTACCTATCTGTTTTAGAATCACACAAAAATATCAGTCTTATAAAATATATCGAGTGTACCTGCCAATGGTTTTTTTGTTTTTAAATATGAAACCCATCCTCAAATGATAATGAGTCGTGACTGATAAAATTATACAACCAAATATGTCAGAAGGCTCCAACGGTAATTTCTTAAGATTTTACAAAAAATATTTTGAGTTACACTAATATTCTTAGAATAAAGATAATGTCTGCCAAAATGGCTACCAGAATAATGCTCTTACTCTTATAACCAAAAAAAAATTTTTTAAAGGTGGCATTATTTTAAAATCATAAATTGTACATCCTGCTGGTGTTGGCCACAAGTATTCAATTAACTGATTTATTTAGTACTATTTGCCCTTCTCTTATTATATTAAAAAGACTTTATAATCTTTAAATTGTTCTATCCTTATTAATATATGTTAAAAATAATATTTTTGTTCAAAGGACCTAGTTAGGCTAGCAATAATTGTAACTCCAAATAAGTCAACAGATAACTATCTTTATCATCTTTTTCAAAGATGATAAAATTAATCCTGAGCCATATATTTGTTAAATATTCTCTTACGCCATTAGACTGATATAAAAACAGAGTCCTACATGATCCAGATTTGTTTTTTCTTAAACTACCTCTTGTTAGCCTCAATATCTTGGGACTGCCTTCCTCATCCAGTACACAACAGCATCTCTGTGTAGAACTTTAATACTGCAGGCCCTCCTAATGAGGGAGGCTGATGTAGGGACTAAAAGAGACAAAATTCTAAACAAAACATGTTTTTGTTTCCTATTGCTGCCATAACAAATATCACAAACTATTTATTTTACAGATAGGGTATCACTGTCACCCAGGCTGGAGTCTAGTGGTGCAATTATAGCTCACTGAAACCTAAAACTTCTGGCTCAAGCAATCGTCCCACCTGGGCCTACCAAGTAGCTGGGATACAGGTATGTGCCATCATGCCCGGCTAATTTGTTTTCTGTAGAGATAGGGTCTTGCTATGCTACCCAGGCTGGTCTTGAACTCCTGGTCTCAAGCCATCCTCCTGCCTTGGTTTCCCAAAGCACTGGGATTATAGACATGAGCCACCACACCCAGACCCAAAATTCATATTTAAATAAGATAAAGCCTTTATTTTATAGCTCTGTAGATCAGAAGTCTAATGTGGATCTCAACCAGTGAAATCAAGGTATTTACAGAGCTGTGCTTCTTTCTGGAGGCTAGGGCAGACCCAGTTCCTTGCTCATTCAATTGCTGGCTGAATGCAGTTTGTTGCAGTTACAGCACTGACATTTGTAGTTCCTTTTTGGCTGTCAGCTGAGGGCCATTTCCGGTTTCCAGAACCCACCCAAATTCCTTGGCCCATGGCTTTTCTCCATCCTCAAAGCCAGCAGTAATAGATTGGGTCTCTAATCTACCATTCTGAATCTTTCTAGTTTCAAGAGCTTATGTGATTTCTGGGCCCACCCAGATAATCCTGTTATCTCCCTATTTTAAGGTCAGTTGATTAGCAATTTTAATTCCCTTTTGTTATATGCTATGGTTTGAATGTGTGTTCCCTCCAAAGCTCAAGTTGAAATTTAATCTCCAATGTGGCAGTATTGAGAAATGGGGCCTTTAAGAGGTGCCTGGGTCATGAGGGTAGGAACAGATTCATCCATTCATAGGTTAATAGATAATGGGTTATGGATTAATGGGTTATCACGGGACAAGACTGGTGGCTTTATGAGGCCTGAGCTAGCACACTCAGCCCCTAGTGCTGTGCTATCTTATACTACCTATGGACTCTGCACAGAGTCCCAATATTAAGAAGGACCCCACAGATGCAGCCCCTCGACCTTTGACTTAGCCTCTATAACTGTAAGACATAAACTCCTTTTATTTAAAAATTTTCCAGCTTCAGGCATTCTTTTATGAGCAACAAGAAACAGAGTAAGACACCTAAGACTAAGTCATATAACATACTGATAGGTTCCACGAGTTAAATGTGAACATCTTTTGGGCCATTTTTCTGACTAGCACGAAAGATATCTAGAAGAAACTTTTTAGATAAAGATGAAAACTGAAAATATTTTACTAAAATGAAACCTAGCCTGAATTTAGTAATCATAAAATTATTCCTGAAAATATCTGAAAACAAACAAAAAACTTTAGAAGTCTACCTGTCAAAATTTTCACGTATAGAAATACAACTGTCCTCTAAAGACCTTTTATACTAATTAGAAATCATGGCTGGGTGTAGTGGCTTACGCCTATAATCCCAGCACTTTGGGAGGCTGAGGTGAGAGGATTGCCTGAGCTCATAAGTTGGAGACCAGCTCAGGTAACTTGGCGAGACCTCATCTCTACAATAAATCAAAAAATTAGCTGGGCGTGGTGGCGCAAGCCTGTAGTTCCAGCTACTTGGAAGGCTGAGATGGAAGGATCACCTGAACCCGGCAGGTTGAGGCTATGATGGCCATAAGCGTGCCACTGCACTCCAAGCCTGGGCAACAGAGTGAAACTCCAACTCAAAAAAAAAAAAAAAAAAAGAAAGAATGAGAACCGATATTCAAATTAACGTGTATAATTTAAGATGTCATTTTCCTTTGTTAATGAGAAGTTCCTTAAAATGAAGTTGCTTACTCTTTCATGCAAAACGCAAAATAAAATTATCCTAGTGAGTTCTGAATCCTAAAATAATGTGTACTTGGAATTGTTCACATAACTAATTATTTGCTTAACTCTAATATACAATTATTTCAGCATTTTTGGAGTATAATTTCCCCATATGGATCTGTGAGTTCTGTACATATGGATTAGATCAACTGTACTGTGTCTGTACTGTGTTTACACGTACATTTTTCTTTACTCTTTATTCCTCTAACAACAAAGGATAACAATGACTTACATAGCATTTACATTGTATTAGGTATTATAAGTAATCTAAAGATGGTTTAAAGTATATGGGAGGATATATATGGTTATATGCAAATAATACCATTTTATATCAGGAACTTGAGGGATTATTGTATATTTTTAATGTTGAATGTCTACTTTTAAAATAAGTTCCCAACACATTAAGAAAAATATAAATTAATCTTAACTCATTCACTGACATAAATTTCTATCTTCCCAAATTCTGTGCCTGGTTGCTGCTGACATGAATTTACGTCTTTGCAAATTGTGTTTCTGAATGCTGCAACACTGTCATATATATGTTATTATATTTTATTTGAAAATGAATAGTGAGACAAGGAGAAAGTTAATTGAGATAATTATCTGATATCGACTGCGCAATATTGTTACTGATTTATGTAGTTTGTAAAAATTGTAAATTGATCATTATTTTGTTGAGATTAGTGTTGTGTACTTGTATTTTTGTATTTTAGGGCTTTCATACTTCAACATTAAAAATAATTTACCATAATTACAGAAAATGAATAAATACACGCTGATGAGATTCCCGAGGTCAAAGGTGAATACAGTGAACTTATTAGTAATAGTGAGACAGATAGTGATGTAATGATGTAATGTAAATGAAGAAATATATCTCTATACTACATACTCAGTTTATAATCCAAATAAAAATACAAAGTATGGAATGCTAATTAGAATGTGTCTGAGGCAAATACTGGATATGTCTGCAACTTTCAGCTATATTGTGAAAAAGGTAACCATTTAGAAAAGACCATTTCACTTGTGTTTAATGACAGGAGTTTGCAGCAACCAGCTTCAGATTTTTTTTTCACCCGCTCTCAATATTAGGAAAGGGAAAAATTTGCTGATTGTGAATGTGTTAATTAAGTCTGAAATGACTCTTCTAAGCTAACTATTGGCATGATCAATTTTCTACAAAAAATATTTTAAATCATTTTTCACTTGTAAAATATACCATAGGCTTTTCCTTTTTTAATCTTCATGTATACTGAGTTATATATTTCAAATAAAAACAAACAAACCTTTACACACTTCTCCTGAATATCATTTCTCTGAGAAGCAAATTTGAGTACTGGCTTTTCACCATCCATTCCAGATTCTTCATGTTTCACTTTGCTAAGATGATGATCTGAAATCCAGTCCATGAAGACAGTTAAAAGTTCATAAACTTGTCCATTAAGTGGTACCTATATGTCAAAAACATCAAAGGTAAGCCTCAAATTTGATAAGTTACTATAAAATAATTTACCTAAGCACTTCACTAAAATATGTGTTTGGACAGTTTCTCCAAACAAGCAAGATAAATTCCAGATCAAATATCCCCAGTTAATATTAAACACATGTCAAATGCCAGTTAAGAGAAAGAAACAAAATCCATAATAAGGAAATTGAAAGAACTGTACCTTACTACTAAGATGAAAATCTTCATAAAAGTTTTTCATCCAAGTTTGGTAAGATAAAACAGTAAAATTGGCCTTACTCGAGAGCAGGATCTACCATAACTAAAATATTTTTTAAAATTTAAAGGTTTCCCAAGCTAAGGAATTTCCACTATAAAACTTTATATAATCTTCTTCCAATAAAAGCTGTTGCTTTCTTTGTCTTTACAGTATACCAGTCAACAGACATAATAGGTGCATTTTTTCCCCCAGAAATCTTATTTTCTGAGAGCCTACAAAAATGAAAAGTAAAATGATAAGAACAAAATGCCACAAGTAATTTATAAACTTAATTAAACTTCAACCTGGGCAAGACAGCAAGATTCTGTTGCTACAAAATAATAAAAAAATTAGCTGGCTATGGCGGCATGTACCTGTAGCCCAGCTACTCGGGAGGCTGATGCAAGATCGCCTGAGCCCAGGAGGTTGAGGCTGTGGTGAACTGTGACTGCACCAGAATAAGGCCCCAGCTCAAAAAATGGAACAAACAAAAAAAACTGATTGCTTTCACGATTACTTCAAAACACATTACATTTCTGGTCAACTAAATTCAAAATTTTTCAAAATAAGATGCCACTATACACATCTACCATAAGCAGGGAACTATACTAGATTTCATGAGCTTTAAAATATCTGCAAAAACATAGAAATATAAAAGCAAATTAATAAAAAGGCAATGTTACACAAAACCAAAATCAGATTATAGAAAACAAAATAATAAATATTAGAGTTACCACATTATTCTGAACAAGAGTACTTTTTCACCTGCTCAATTTTTTTCCAAATAGAAACCAACGTCCTTTAGATGAAAACTTCCATCATCTTCAATATCTGAGTATAAAGCTGCACCATTTCCAATTTACTTTACATAAGGAACTAGAAGAGTCATCAAAATCATTACAGCCCATAATAACATGCCACTCCATGCACCGTGGAAAGTTCAAAATGAAAACGACTGAAAATACCTGATGCTGGCAAGGCTGCAGAGCAGCCACAACTTTTCAAACACTGTTATTAAGAGTGTGAAATGGTACAACCAATTTAGAAAATTGACAGTCTCTTAAAAACACATATCTGTCTAATGCATCAGAAATTGTAGCCCTGGTATATACCCAATAAATAAAAACATATATCCACAAAAACCCTATACATCAATATTCATAGCAGAAAGCTATGAATTCATAACAGACAATAACTAGGAAAAGCTTAGATGCCTATCAACAAAAGGATGAATAAATAAACTGATTTATTCATACAATGAAATACGATTGAGCAATAAAAAGGAACAAACTGCTGATATACCCAACATTATGCTGAGAAAAAGAAGCCTTAAACAAGCAAGTATACACTAGATAATTTCACTGCCTGGGGTTCTAAAATAGGCAGAACTGATTCGTGGTGATACAAGTCAGATATAAGTAGTTGTTGAACTACTTCCAACAGAAAGGAATGACCAGAAAAGGACAGAGAAGAACTAACTGCCTAGAGTAATGGAAGTGTATTATATTTGGCTGTAGGTTACATGAGTGCTGTAAATATCTGTCAAAACAGCTCAAACCTTCAGTAACACCTAGGGCTATTAATTTTAAAAAGTTTAAATTTGACACTTAAGGATATAAAACTGGGTATTATGTTAATGTATGTAACTTATACCTCAAAGTTTTTAAATTCTTAGGGGAAAAAAATACATGGGAGGCCCATTCAGGAATGGGTTGCAGTCTCGATAGAAAAATAACATCAAGTGCATGTGAAGTCTCAAAATATACCAACTAATAAAGCTGTTATTAACCTTGAGTTCCTGAAATTCATGCTACTGTACCCGAAACACTCCTTTTGTTATTAACAGATAAAGGTAATTTTAAATGTTCTAGAGATATTTCCCTATAAAAATAATTATTAGGGTGAATCCTTTCATACCAAAAAGAATGTGTGCTAAACGAAAGAAAAAAAGAAAATAACAAGAGAGAATTTCCTGGCTTTTCATCGGAGAAATTTTCAATCATATCATACCTTGAATGTTTTTGGAACTGGTACTTTTTCTTGCTTTATGGTTTTCATTTCATGAGCAGCATGGGAATTTGCTTTCAATCTCTGTATTGTCATGAACTCGTACTTTCTCTGCAACAGTACATATCCATGAATTAAAGAGTAACTATCAAAAGTGAGTAAATCCAAAGGCAATCATTTTAAAAGTCACTTGTATCTCAAGAGAAAAGCAGGCAACTTACCTGTAAATTATCTAAACGAGCTTGCACTCTCTTAGCCTGAATCTCCATCTTCCTGTTTTCATCACTTACTTCATTTAACTAAAGGAGGAAAAAGACCTTTCAACATAAACTCATCTCACACTAAGTGTTTCTTAATCTATTATCTAATCAGATATACAAAACCAAGTAATAAAATAATTAAATTAGATCATAGTTAAAGTCACCATTGTCCCCTAAAACATTAATTACATCTAAGAAAATTTACTTCATTCTATGAAGAATGTGAAAGACTCAAGATGTCTTAAAAGTATACATTTTAACAGAAAATGTTTTTCAAGTGAAAATTCTATTGAACTATAAACAGATAAGTGTAAAATCATAAGGATATAACTATAAACAGATAAGTGTAAAATCATAAGGATAAGCATATAAACAGATAAGTGTAAAATCATAAGGATACATAAAAATGAGTTATTGGGGGTGTGAGTGTGTGTGTGTGTAAACTGATATCTTTACAGAATTGAGTTTTCCCACTCATGAACATATCTTTGGTTTACTTAGGTATTCTTTGTTTTCTTTTAATAATGTTCTGTAGCTTTCAGTATAGATGTCTCACACTTTTTTTTTTTGAGAATTATTCCTGGGTATTCAATGATTTTTGATGATATTGTCTATAATATCTGTCAATAAATAGCATTAACTATTTGAATCTTGTTGGTATATAGTAACATACTTAATTTATATATATTAATAATATAACTCATATAAAATAAAATAACTCATATAAAGAGATTCTGCTAAATTTGCTGATTAAGTCTAAGAGTATGTCTGCATATTCTTTTGGACTCCTATGTAAATAGGAATATAATGGTCATCTGTGAATGAGTATTATTTCTACCTTTCTAATCCTTATACTTCTTGTTTTTCTTATTCATTGACTAGAACTTCAACTAGAACTGTTCAACAGAAGTGGTAACAGCAACGACCTTTATTTTGTTCTGTCCCCAGAGGGAAAACTTTCAATAACTTACCATCAAATAAAATTTTATTGTTGGATGCTTTTTTTTTCTATTTATTTTCATGAATTATTGCTGAATTTTTTTTTTTTCTGGGTTGGAGTCTCACTTTGCTGCCCAGGCTGGAATGCAGTGGCATACTCATAGCCTCAACCTGTTGGGCAATCCTTCCACCTCAGCCTTCCAAGTAGATGGAAACACAGCCATGCGCCACAATGCCCAGTTGATTTTTTATTTATTGTAGAGAAGAGGTCTTGCCATGTTGCTCAGGCTGGTCTAGAACTCCTGAGTTCAGGCAATACTCTTGCCTCTGCCTCCCAAAGTGCTGGGATTACAGGCATAAGCCACCACGTCCAGCTGCTGAATTTCATATAAACAAGAAAATATCATGTATTTTTCCTCCTTTTATCAGATGATGCATTAATTTTCATATTTTAACCCACTCATGTTTTCCTAGACTGAATTCAGCTTAGTTGCTTTATCTGTTTTATATATCACTAGATTTAGTTTGCTTTCTTTTTTTTTTTTTTTTGTATTTTTTTTTTTTTGAGTTGGAATCTCACTCTGTCACCCCAGACTGGAGTGTAGTGGCCACTCCTGACCACTGCAGCCTCGACCTGCTGGGCTCTGGCGATCCTTCCGCCTCAGCCTTCCGAGTAGCCGGAACTACAGGCGCATGCTACCATGCCCAGCTAATTTTTGATTTATTGTAGAGATGAGGTCTCACCAAGTTGCCCAGGCATGTCTTGAACCCGCGGGCTCAGACAATCCACTCACCTCGGCCTCCCAAAGTGCTGGGATTACAGGCTGAGCCACTGAGCAGGCCCTAGTTTGCTAATATCTTAAAATTTTTGCTCCTACATATTCCTGAGACAGACTGTCTGCATTTTTCCTTTCTTATAAAATGTTTAGCTTCAAGGTTATGCTGGCTTCATGAAACAAGAAAGAGAGATTTATATCCATATCCCCAGTCAGAAAAACAGCATGGTGAACCCTTCCCTAGTGGACCTACCACCAAACCAAGTGAACCAATGTTCACCTCCCCAGTTGGAGAAACAGTCCAGCATCCTTGACCTCAGCAAGTCAGTCACTGAGTTGATCAACCTATTGCATGCATCCTCATACGACCAGTCTAAAACCAGCTTGATAGCTCACTTCTAGAATAGCCAGGCCACAACTACCACTAACTTCCACAGCCTAGTCCACTGAGGCACTTATAAACATCAATAACGTGAACTACATAGAAACAACACTTCTTTTTGTTACCCAGAACCAAAGCCAACACATCTTACCCAACCAACACCCTAAGAACCATCTACAGGAATTCGACTTTCTCTACAAAAGCTACTCCATAAGAGATACAGCAAACATGAAGAAGCAAGAATACATGACACTCCCAAAGAAACACAATAATTTTCTAGTAATAGAACCCACCCCAAACAAAGAAAATTTACAAACTGCCATAAACAAATTCAAAATAATAATTTAAAGAAAACTCAGCAAAATACAAGGGACTACAAATTGACATTTCAACAAAATCAGGTAAATAATTCATAATTTGAACAGGAAATTCAATGGAGAGACAGATAACACAATCAAACAGAAAACACAAAGCTAAAGAATTTGATGAATGAAATAAAAAATACAATAAAAAATTCAGTAACAGTCTAGATCAAGCAGAAGAAAAACTTTCTGAACTTGAAAACATATCTTTTGAAATAACCTAGGTAGACCAAAAAAAAGGAAGAAAAAGCCTCAGTGCAATGGCTCATGCCTGTAATCCCAGCACTTTGGGAGGCTGAGGCAGGAGGACTGCTTGAGCTCAGGAGTTCCAGACCAGCCTAGGCAATACAGTGAGACCTCATCTCTGCAAAAATAAAAATAAAAAATTAACTGGGTGTGATGGCATGCCCCTGTGCTCCGGTTACTCCAGAGGCTGAGGTGGAAGGATAGCCAGAGCCCAGGAGGTCAAGGCTGTGGTGAGCCATGATCATGTAATTAATTACACACCTCAATCTGGAAAACAGTGAGATCCTGACTCAAAAAATATTAACAAAAGGGAAAAAAAGAATGAAGAAAGCCTACAGGACTTAGTAACACTATTAAGTGTACAAATATTCTCACATGAAAGCCACCGAAGAGGTAGGAAAAGGTATAGAAAACCTATTTAATGAAATAATAGCTGAAAATGTCCCAAGTCGTAGGAGAGGTATGAACATCCAAATCCAGGAAACTTAAAAATTCCACAATTATAGCTAATCCAAAAAAGGTCTCCTCAAAGACACATAGTAGGCAAACAGTGAAAGGTACAAGACAAAGAATTTTTACACATGCAAGAAAAAAAGGTCAAGACACATATAAGGGAAGCTCCATTAGACTAAGAGCAGATTTCTCACCAGAAATCTTACAGGCCAGGATCAGACTAACAATGGATTTCTTACCAGAAATCCTTCAAGTCAGAACAAAGGGGGATAATATACTGAAAGTGCTAAAACGAGAAAAACAAAACAAAACAAACAAAAAAACTGCCAACCAAGAATACCATGCCCAGCAAAGATATTATTCAGAAATGAAGAAGAACAAAAGGTTTCCCCAGTCAAGAAAAAACTCAGGGAATTCTTCACCACTAAACTAGCATTACAAGAAATGTTTAAAAGATTCCTACATCTAAAAACAAAAGGACAATAACTACCATCATGAAAACATGATACAGTAAATACACAAATGATGAAAAGAAAAGAAAAAAACCGTATCACTACATAGTACCATTAAACTGGAAAGACTACCAACAAGAGGGGGGAAAAGAAACAAAATATATTTAAAGAAAAAAAATAACAGAAGACCTCACTGATCAATAATAACTTTAAATGTAAACATATTAAATTCCCCAATTAAAAGATTTAAACTGGACAAATGAATAAAAAAAACAAGATCCAATTATATGCCAACTATGAGAAACTCATTTCACCTATAAAGTCACATAGGCTAAAAGTGAAGGATGGAAAAATATATTCCACATAAATGAAAACCAAAAGCAAGCAGAAGTAGCTATACTTAAATCAGATAAAACAGACTAAGTCAAGAATTGAAAAAAGACACAAAGTTATTCTATAATGATAAAAAAAGATCAATTTAGAAGAGGGTTTAACAATTGGAAATATAGGATATGGCTGACGGGAAGCAGCTGGTGAGCATCTCTCATGAATTATGCCTCAATAAATTCAAAAAATCAAAATCATATCAAGCATCGTCTCTGACCACAGAAGAATAAAAGTAGAAATCAACAACAAGAGGAACACTCAAAACCACACAAATACATGGAAACTAAACAACTTGCTCTTGAACAATTTTTAGATACACAACTAAATCAACAAAGAAATAAGAAATTTCTTTAAAACAAATGAAAATAAAAACACAACATACCAAAACCTCTAGGATGCCACAAAATCGGTGCCAAAAGATACATTTATAACACTATACACCCCCATCAAGAAGAAAGCTATCAAATAAACAAGCTAACATCTTACCTGAGGGGACTAGATGAACAAGAACAAACAAGCTAGAAGAAGAAAGGAAATAACCAAAATCAGATCACAGCTAAATAAAACTGAGAGCAAAAAAGCCAAAAACAAAACAAACAAACAGAAAAAAAACAATGAACTGAAAAGCTGGACCCCTGAATAGATAAACAAGACTGAGAGACCACTGATCAAATTAAAAGAAAAATAAGAAACAAAATCCAAATAAGTACAATCAGAAATGAAAACAGCAATGTTACAACTGATCCCAAAGAAATACAATAAATTATCAAAGATAAAATTATAAGTATCTGTATGCATGAGGTAAGTTAAAAAATCTGAAGAAAATGGGTAAATTCCTAGAAACACAACCTTCTAAGACTACTGAAACCAATAATGAGCTGAACAGACCAATAATGAGCTACAAAATTGAATCAGTAATAAAAGATCTACCAACAAAAAATGTCTAGAAAAATTCACAGCTGAAGTCTACCAGATATACAAGGAAGAGCTGGTTTCAATCCTACTGAAACTATTCCAAACAAACTAGGAGGAGGGACTCATT